GTTTCGAGGGCGTTACGGTCGGTAGCTGTTTGTCTGTTCGGCCCTTGCTAGCGTTGTCAGGCTCTACAGAAATAACCCCTTTGGTCTCTGCCCTCAGTAGAGCAGAGGCTGCTAGAAAAGAGTCTCTGTGTCGAGGTTTGCTGGACTCGACAAGCACAAGCCTCCCCTTGTTACCTTTCGGTGACCATTTTACTAGCCGTAGGACTCGCTTGATGGATGCGTGGGGTGGAGTTCCTGTTAGTCTGAGGAGGGAGGTGACGTGATGCCTTGTTAACGCTTCCCTCCGCTTAGCAATCCTGCAGAAGGGCTCCACTATGCCCTTGGTGATTACATTCCTGTGCCTCTCGAGGGCGATGTCAGTGTTCCCTTCGAGAGTCTTTATGCTTTTGGAGTTTGATACAACTAGCTTGGTCACTCTGGCTAGTTTGGTGGCCTGGTTGGCCAGTGTGTCAGTGGCCACTTTCATTTGACTTGTCGAGTCGTTCCTAGGGCTTACCATGTCCAAGCTGTCAATGGTGGCCTTAACGCCTTTTCCTTCCACAACCGTGACATCCAGTAAGGAACTATTGAGTGCCTCTAGGAGCTTTACTTCTGGGGCAGAGGTTTCTCCCGTCCCTGTCTGTGGTGTGCTACCAACCGGCTTAAGTGGTTCCGATGNGGAGTCATCGATTTCGGTGGGGTGCCGGGCCTCGCAGTCTTTCCCTTGGCCGCTTGTGTTAGAATATTAGTGCACACATAGCACACCGATTTCAGGCATTTAAGCTCAGTGTAGAGGCCGTAGGTCTTCATAGTAAGTTTGCTGCACTTACGGTCATACCATGTACCACAACAGTCACAGCAGATGCCCTCGCTTACGCTTACTAGGCAGCCAGTTCTCCCACAGGGAAATACCCTGCCCTCGGTTTTAGGGCTTGAGAGCGTTTTTTCCTTGTAGCTCTAGTGGTCATTAGCAGATAGTCTACTGCCTCCGGGTNCCTCCGGGTGGTAAGAACGGAGGATTTTAATAGATTAAGGGAGCCTTAAGCTGGCGAACTATGGCTTGGTGTTAAAATTTACTAGATGAGATGAAAGAGGTTTATTCTAAGCAAAAAGGCAGTAAAATAGGGTAAGTGAATATAAAAAGCATGAAAAGAAAATAGCATGCACTGGTTAGGAACATTAACCGCGAGCCAAAGTTAACACGGACGCTGTACTCACCGTGTTTCCTCACAGGAAGCAGCCACTAACGCCTAGGCTCCTCTTAGTAGCACCCTGAGCTGACCCTTAGGCGAGTACCGGTCGGTTTCGGCTGGACCTGGATCCACCGTGGTCTAATTTCTGGACTTGAAAGGTGATTACCTTGAGTATTTGCCCCACGCTCCGAAAATTGATATCGCGCGCGCAAGGTCAAGGTCAAATTCAAAAACCAGGACGGTTCCTGGTCTCCCGAGTCTTGTCGAGAATGGAATCACTGCCGACACTGATGTGGACAAGGCTGGTGTACTTGCTCGGCATTATGCTTCAGTGTACACGGGAGCAGAGATCTCGACCTCACCGGGTTTTGTGTTCGTACCCTCCTGACGTGCTCCCAATCAGTGCCCCCTGTCTGGAGGCTAGTGACGTCGCCAATGTACTACGTGGCATTCGTCAATACCAATCCCCGGGTCTAGATGGGGCTCACCCGTTGGTGCTGAAGGAGCTGATTGATGTCGCATCAACCCCGCTGGCCTAAATGTTCAACTTCTTCCTCAGGACTGGCCGAATATCATTGGATTGGAAGAAAGCGCTGGTTG